ATTATTGAGATAAAAAGCAATGAAGATGCAATCACCATTCTCAAAGACCTTCTCATTTATTAAGTTACATTGTGACCACAGATAATGATACCTGCCATATGAATGGTAAAATATAAATGTAAAATGGATACTGGGGAAGAATGGATAGCTTTCAAAAGATTCTACATAAAGTATCTAGTAGATTCATGTTAAAACCATAACTGGAACTACTCTAAAATGATACAGCAAATGTCACTGGTTTTACTCAGGACGCTTCCCTGTTTTTGGCGGAAACACAGCCATTCCTATCAATCAATCTTACCAGTTAGTCAAGCTATCTGTACACCCAGACAAGAGAAACACAATTAAATTAATCTAGTTGTCAAGATTTGACGGAAATGATCCAATTTAAGCAAGAAGATAAAACATATACATGTTTAGCACAGTGTCTTCATTTGCTCATTCAAACCTTTATTGTGTACCTGCTGTGCACCAGACATTGTACTAGGGAATAGAAATAGAACAGTAAAATTCCTACCGTACAATGAATAAGACATTTATACTTACTGCTCTTAAGAGGTTCATAATATGTGGGAAAATAAACAAATAAATTAACAACAAAAATACAATGTGAGAAATACAACAATGTGCCCTCTCTTCCCTCCCATTACAAAGGATGAACTGACTAAGCTCCTATCCAAGGCTAAGCTCTTCACATTTAATCTCCTCTTGCCTTTTCAAAGGCATAATTCCCCAAATATCCCCCTTTATCTTCCACATCACCAATCTATGCTTTCTTGATCACAGTTCCTCCAGCTATGGTTTCCAGATAATGCTCCTTGAAAGAGTTTCCTGTATAGCCAAGGTGAACACGTCAGTTAACAGCCAAACCAAAACACATCTGAGAATATTTACAACCTGAGACTATCAGTGCAAGTAGGGCTTTCACCTATTTATACTCCCTTTTTCTAGTCTTCCTTGAACGCATTTCAACAAGGCTTTCGTTCCCACTACTCTACCAGAACTGTTCACATAAAGATCACTAATGGCCTCAAGATACCAAATCCAACAGTCAGTTCTCAGTCTTCAACATGCTTCAGCTATCAGCAGCATTTGCACAGCTGATAGATCACTTCCTGTCCTTAAAGCATTTTATTCACTTCTCTTACTTTTCTATCTATCTCACTGCCACTCCTCAGTCTCCTGCCCAATTCCTACTCTACTCATCCCAATCACTGATAAACGTTGGCGGGTTCCCAAGTTTCAATACACAGATCTCTTCACTTTTCCACTACACTCAGTTCCTTGGTGATAACATCTAGTCTCATGGCAATAAATATCATGTAGACGCCAAAAGTGTATCCAGTTATTCCAGACTTCCAAATGCATTAATTCAACTGTCCACTTGACATTGACATTTCTACTTAGAGATCTAACAAGCATCTCAAACTTAACAGGTCTAAAACCAAACTCCTGTTATCACTTACACACACACACACACACACACACACACACACACACACCCCTTCTCCTTCTAAAATCTTTCCCACCTCAGTTAATGGTAATTCTATCCTTCTATCCAGCTGTCCACTCCCAACCCCTGTATGTTCATCATCCTTGTTTTCCCTCTTACTCTCACACTCCATGTTCAATTAGTCAGCATATCCTAAGCTCTACCTTTAAAAATACATCCAGAATCCAACCAATTCTCACAACCCCACTACTACCACCCTGGTCCAAGCCTCCTCCATTTCTTGCCTGAATGACTGCTTTATTTTCCTACTGATGCCTCATCCCTTGCTCCCTTCAAGCTGTTATGTATACAGCAATCAAAACTTTCTTGTTAAAATGAGCATCAAATCATGCACTCTTCCACTTTTCCTCCTTCAGTGGCTTCTCCCCTCACAGTAGAAGTCCAGGGTTTTACAAGGGCCCCAAATGTCCTTTACTAATCTAGTCCCTTCTAGCTCTCCAGATTCATATTCTAGCACTTTGCTGCACACTAACTTCAATCCACCCATAACACTAGCTTCCTTGTCACTCCTCAAACATAACAGAGAGATTCTCGATCAAGGATTTGGAGTTTTCCCCTAGATAGCCCCATGGTTAGTTCCTCCATCTTCTTTAGATATTTGTCCAAATCCCACACTTTCTGAAAATCCTTCCCTCTGACCCCAGGACCGTCTATCTCCTTTTCTTGCTTTATTGTTTTCTGAAACACTTATCACCCTTTAGCAAAATATGTTTTATTTATTCATTTTGCTTCCTGCTACCATTTTTTCAGAATGTACATTGTATGAGGGCAAAGATTTTTATCCACTAGCTCAAGCCACATGAAAGAGCCGGTTTTGTGAGTCGAAATGTTTTGTTCAGTTTGCCTCTCAAATGCCTAGTACATACAACTTTGATGAATAAATGAGCAAATGAATGAGTTTCATAGGTATGTATAGGTCCTAAGGAAGTATGAAGTATGTAATAAGGACCCATCTCAGAGGAGGGGAAGTTTCAGCTGAATCTTGAAAGATGAGCTGGACATAGGAAGCTACCAAGAGGAGGATGATATCCCAGACGATGGTAACAATATGTACTATGGCAACGGTTCTGACCAAATAGTAAATGACCTTAAAGGGATTACGGAATACTGGGGTGTTATTTTAAAATGTGTGGGAATTGGCCAGGTGCGTGGCTCACGTCTGTAGTCCCAGCAATTTGGGAGGCCGAGGCAGGTAGATCACTTGAGGTCAGGATTTCGAGACCAGCCCGGCCAACATGGGGAAACCCTGTCTCTACTAAAAATATGAAAATTAGCTGGGTGTGGTGGTGCATGCCTGTAATCCCAGCTACCTGAAAGGCTGAGACAGAATAATTGCATGAACCCTGGAGGCAGACGTGGCAGTGAGCCAAGATCATGCCATTGCATTCCAGCCTTGGTGACAGAGCAAGACTCCATCTCAAAAAATAATAATAATAATGAATTTTTTAAAAGTGTGGGAATTCATAGGAGGATATTAAGCCAGAACATGATAAAATTAGTTTCATATTTCAGAAAAACGACAGCAACCTATACTAGGTGAACTGAGGTATAGAAAGCTTCCTGTTAAAACTGCAGGCAGAAAGACTAATTAGAAAAGTGAGGAGATATATAGTGATAGGTGACACTGGAGAAGCAAAGAGAAGCTACAAAACATATTACACAAGTGTCTGTAAACCGAATTGCAAAATATGAATTTAATATCGTCAGCACAAGCAAGTCACTTAAAGATTTTAAGCCATAAAATGACATGATCGGAATCAGGTTTTAGCAGTCTATATTAGCTGCAGTGAAGATGATGGATTAGGAGGAAACAGAAACAAATAAAAGGACATGAGTTAGACTATTGTAGAAGTCCGGGTGAAAGATAACAGTGGTTTGGACTGGAGAGATGGCAGTAGGGATGCAGAGAAATAGATGGATTTATTCAATCAGTCCTAACACTCTGTTGAACATGTCCTTTAGTTACCAAGTAAAGCCAATTGTAGTCGCATTTTTACTTAAAAACAATCATTCACCTTATCTGTACTCCAGTATCTCACTCCAGTGACCTGCTGGAACACATGAGACCCAGTTGAACAAGTGGGAGAAAAGTACAAAATATTTTGCAAACTGAGTAATTACTGTATGGTTAATTAAGTGAATTTTGTAGAATAATTCACTTTATACTGTGAAAAAATCACAGTTGTTTTCTTCTTTTAGAGTAAGTAGGTCCCACTTAATCATAACACGGAGAGTAAATCTTCATAAACATAGCTATTACTCAAAAGTAATAAAATATAATTTTATTACTAAATGTTCAAACTCTATGAACATTTAGTCCAGTGGAAAGGACATTACACTAGGAAATGCATGCAGGGACTGGAGGGTCAACTTCCCATAACTACTGTGCAGTTGTGAGAGTCATTAACTTCTCTGGGTCTCAGCTCAAAGTTCCTTCCAGGGGCTATAGTTTATCATTATCTATTTATTATATTATGTATGAGAGGTTGGTGTGTCATACAAACATGTCAAAATTCTTCTCATCTAGTCTGCATTTATTTTGAAGAGAAAATAATGAAAAGGGTTTTTTTTTTTCCTGACACAGTTTTACTCCTTTACATTTTTTTATTTCCTTTGAAAACACAAACCAACTGCTCAGTTACCTTTCCCCATCCTTTACTCCTGTGTATTCCTCTTTGCTTTCCTGATTGGCCATGAACTTGGTACTGATTGAACAGAAATCACTGTAGTAGTAACCAATACAAAACAGAAGCTGGCTGTGGAAAAATACGCTTATGACATCACCCTGGTGGTAATACATCATAGTAATGAGCTAAGGTGGAGGACTACAAATTTTTGATCACTTAGAACAAACTGGGAGCTCCTATTGGTGTTTCTATGGGATCTAGCAGCCTTTACTCTGTAATTTCATGAATTCGCTATAAATATGTTTATTTCATCTCTTTACAGAATTTTAAGTATTTTTATCATTGAAAGGAAAAACATACTAAAGGCAGATATCATCAATCCGTTTGGTCATCTCACTTTCCCACAAGTCAAAGATGGCAATAAAGTTTCAGCTATCCTGACAATGTGGGTGGCTGCCTAGAGGACATGCTGGGAAGAATCCTGAGACCATATCTGGACTTGGCAGAAAAAAGTGCTGTAATCCGTGAAATGCCGGCTGTGCACACAAGGGTAGGAAACACAGCGCTGGTGCCAGATACTCAACACTATTAGGGTAGAATATTCTTTAGGAAAAGTGTCAAAATGGAAGAGAACTTCAGATAGATTTGAATTAATTATATCTCATAGTTGTGCAATTTAGAAAAAGAACATCAAAGACTGTTTAAGGATTTCATCAATGGGATTTTTCAGTTAATTTATTTATTCAGTTAATAGTTAACAAGGGTCTATTAAGGGTCAGGTCACTATTCACATGCTGAGTGTTCAAAGGTAAGCAAAAGACAAAAGCTCCCTTCTTTCAAGAAGCTTGTAGTCCACTGGGAGAGACACAATAACATGGTCCTATAATTTAGAATAACAAAGTGGATCTAATTTACATGCGCTCTTCAGAAAAGTTCTACCTAAAGAGATGGTGACTCAGAGGAACAAGGTCAGAGTCCCATGAAAGTAAAGGTGAGCAATTATTCAAATTATTACATATAAAGTTCTACCTTTCATTGTACTAAAATTTTCAAAAGAAAGGTAAAAATACATATATAATCACAATATGATGCAAAATCATAAAAAAGACACATTCAGTTGTCAGAATTATTATGAAATCTACTAAATAAATTTAGAGACTTTCTTCTAATAATTTAATGTACCTTAAGTTTATCATCATAAACTACCTGGAGTTAGCAATAAATTCTGATTTTGTTGGTTAAGAATTTGAAGAGATTTTCTAGTCATTGATTCGCTTTCAAGGGAATGAAACTAAATCTCTCTGTCTAAAGCCTTTCTTCTAGACTGTATTAATTATCTGTTGTTTAAAAATGACTTGTGGTAGTTGTTATATAATTATGTGAAACAGTGTATAGTTATACCACACAGCCAAGAAAAAGAAAAAAACATTTACAACAGTAGTGCACCTGTTAAAGACTTAAATAACATTTTCTCTAATTTGACATTTGTAATTTGGTACTTTAAGTTAAATAAACCTTCTGACTTGCCAGAGTTATTCTCTGAGAAAATTTTACGCTGCAAGAGTACATTAGAAACTTTGGAAAACATAGTAATTATTTCATAGCTTTAAAATACCACTATAACAATACATTTACTTTTCCTTTTGCCTATAACTGAAAAACTAGTCCCCGTCTTTAATAATTCAACACAACAATGCACTGAATTGCAGCCAATAAAGCTGAATTAATTCACCTATGTGAATATAATTTGATTTGGGGGTTCTTCCTACAAATCAGGAAAACAGAACAAGCCAGGGAAAAAGGAGCAGGTTGACACGAAGAGGAAAGGATGTTGTAAACAAGAAACTAAAAGCCCAGGAGTATTAGTCTTATTTAAAATTCAGAAGATAACATTCTTTTTCCTAAGCAAAAGGGAAATAAATACACATGAAAATCTAACAGAAACAGGGAACTAACGCCCAGATTCACATTCAAGAGCCAATAAACATAAAGAAGAGACTGGAAGGAGGAAGGGGAAGGCACTGGCCCGGGAGTGGCAGGTGGCAGAGGTCAGAGAGCCTTGACCTCTCATATGAAGACTGGACATGTGGCGCTGAGGAGTTGAAAGCCACTGCCGAGTTTGAGGCAGAGTGACATGATTGAAAATGACAAAGACAGATTATTTAGGCAACAGAACTTAAGACTCATTGAGACAAGAAGACCAGTGAGTAGAAAAGCATAATGTTACAGGTGAAGAATTTGTTCTGTGGTTTTTATGGCAAGAACAGCCAGTAATAGGCACTCTCCATTACCAGAGTCAAAGAACTCATTCTGAGAAGGAGGAGAATTTACCATTGGTGATGGATGGGGAGTAAAATCTCAGTGCTAAGAAGGAGGCACATGATGATATGAAAACCACAACTACCTCAAAACCTAACAAAAACACATTGCAGAAAGAAATCTCAGAGCCTCTCGGTGAATCTCACCAAGAATCTGCACCACAGATACATACAATAGATATTTCGAGAACAATTACTTAGACTTCTTTACTGAGGTCAAAAATCAGCCTTATGCTAAATTTCACACCATAGCAAATACCATTACAAGGCAAATCCGAGTATTGTCATTGATAAAGTTGCCCTAATGGCCTGTCCCTGCTTGTACTTTCCCCCTTCCCTCTTTATAGAATTTTACTAAAAAATCACTAAAAATTCTGAAACAGGTTTGCTACATCCTATGGGGATTTTGGGGCCCTGTCGCCCTTATTTTGTAGGTTTATAGGCTCCTTATACTTAAAGTGTGTTTGACTCATCCTTCTACAGGACTCTAAGTTTCCTAACCATTGGGTCTGTCTTTTCACTCCTTACCGTGTCTAATATGATGCCTTGCACCCAATGGGGACTGACAATATGTTTCTGAGTCCCATAAAATGGCAATAAACTTTGAAGGTCCTTGTCCACTCTAGCAGTAAAATGCTGCTATAATAGATTGATTACATCTTCCAACTGCATTTTGCTTCAGGCAAGGAAATTAGCAGTGTGGCATACTGTACAGTCTCTTCTTGTAAATCATTTCACATTTATTTACTAAGCTGTTGAATTTACAAATTGAAGTTACTTACAGGGACTTCTAGGAACAGGAAGGACTTTGCTATATTCACGCTGATATTGTCACATTTTTCTAAACATGTATGTGGTAGGCTGAGTGATGGCCCCCAAAGATAGCTACATCTTAATGTTACCTTCTACAGCAAAAAGAACTTTGCAGGTGTGATTAAATTAAGAGATTACTGGGTTACTGGAGATTATCCTGGATTATCCAAGTAGATCCTAAGTGTGATCACAAACGTCATTATAAGAGGGGGTAGAAAGAGTTTGTTGGACCACCAAAGAAGAGAAGGCAATAGGATGACAGGAGCAGAGAGAAATGTGAAGAAATACGAAGATGCAAAGATGGAGAAAGGAGCCACAAGCCAGGGAAGGCAATGGATGCAGCATTATTAGAAGCTGGAAAGGCAGGGAACCAGATCACCCTGCAGAGCCTCCACAGGGACCAGTCCTGCGCAGTCCTTGGTTTAGCGCTGTAAAACTCATTTTGGATTTCTAATCTCCAGAAGAGTAAGACAATAAATTTGTGTTGTGTTAAGCCACTGAATTTGCAAAAATTTTTTACAGTTGCAATAGGAAGCTAATATATTACACCTTCTTATCTTCTTGCCAGTTAACTCACTGCTTCGGATTAGATTTTCAACTTCCTGTGGGAGCACAGTGTGTGTTCTTTTTGTGCTTTTCTCTTTATTGTTGGTATAATTCTTCACAGCTGTCAAACTGCTAACTTTGGCACACCTGTATTACTCGCCTATATTATTACCAAGCTTGCAATACATTGATGCATGTAAGTGGTACACAGAAGAAAATGAAATAATTTTAAAAAGTTAAACTCATCTACAGTTATTTTTCTCCAAGTATTGTCCCACAATGTTTGCATCAGAATCACCAAAGGTTATTGTTTGAAATTCAGATTCCTGGGCCTAACCACACCAGAAGTTCTGAATCATCTCTCCCAGGCAGGGCCCTGCATTTAACACACTTACAGTTGAATCACATGTATTCTAAAGTTGAAGAACCACTGGACTAGAATCACCTGAAGAAGCTTTTGTTCATTTAGCCCCACAACCAGCAAATCTCAAAGCTTGAAAGAAATATTTAGCAAAAGCCTAACACACAGGAAAAATATGTATCATGTTTCCTTAAATCTGTTTCAACATCAAAGTCTTCAACGAAGATACATTCAACGTGGCTGTTATTATTTTTAACTGTAACAACTAATCTTTCTCCTGCACAATAAGCAATAACAGATAAGTCGGATCCAACATTTGGGAATCAGAAAAAGTTGGTTAATCCTGTCACAGCCCAGAGATAAAACAGCAGTATTTAATCCCTCTGTGAAATCCCTCTGAGTACCTCTTTTGTAGTAAACTGAACTGCACTTTTTTGGTTGTTGGTTTGTTTTTAAACAAGAGAATAAACTTACAGAATTTCCTTATTAAGCTATCTATTTTATGCCTGATCGAACTTCTTCAGCAAGACAGACAGCCAGGTACATCTGTTTGTAAATACGGGGGCTGAATGCAGAGTTGAATTCAGTATCAATTTAGTTTGGCCCATCAGTCCTTTGATTCCTGGATTCCCAGCTGCCTGCTGACCTCACTTTGACGAATGCCATCTTCCTCTCTAAATCAACACCATCCTGTTCAAGCACAGCATTCCGCCTTCACTGATTATCCCTCTTGTATATTTTAATGATGCTGGCATCCCTCTGTCCCCCAGGGTAAGAACTTCAGGAGTCATTTGTTTGTTCATTCATTTTACAAGCATTTACTGAGAAGCTACTTTGTGCCAGGCCTTCTCCTAGGTGCTGAGGACGTAGAGTGAACCAAACAAGTAGAAATCCCTACTATGGAAAGCTTACATTCTCATAGGAAAGACAGGTAATAGCCAGATAAACACAATTTATAGGATGTTAAATAATAAGTTCACAGGAGATTAAGAAATGTCCAATGCCAAGAAAAGCATCACTCAGAAGGTATTATTTGAGGAAAAATATAAAGTGAGGATGTGAGTAACAGGGATATAGGTTTCTGAGAGGAATGAATTCCAGGAACAGCCACTTATCCATGTCCGTAAAATCTTCATTGTATCAGTTCTCACACCTATCCATTCAACTCTTTTGTTAAATAAATTATAAAACGCCTACTCAAATAGAAAGTACAAAGAATAATATAACATTACTCTTATACCTCAAACAGATTTAATGTTGATATTTTTCCGCATATGCTTTGGATATTTTTTCTCTTTTACACTTTATTGCATCTTTCCAACAAATCTATTAAATACTACTATTGGCATTTTATAGATAATGCATGTCTAAGCACAAAATCCATCTTTCATTCAGTTTGACACATTAACTTTGTTAAAATATCTGGATTTTCACCTCCAAAGCATATAGTTTTAACAAAACACCTGAATAAGTTCCATGGGATTTTTTTACCATGGTAAAGTTAATGTTCTTCTAAAAGGTGTGAAGGGCACAAAAAAAAAGCTTTAAAGAGCAATTCCACAGAAGAATTAACAAAGAAGTAAAAGGAGAAACAGACACTAATATACACAAATTATCCTCAGCTAACTAGTGCAGGAACAGAAAATCAGACACCACATGTTCTCACTTAGAAGTGGGAGCTGAACCATGAGAACATATGGACACAGGGAGGGAACAACACACACTGGGGCCTGTGGCGAGGGTGGGGGAGGGAGAGCATCAGGATAAATAACTAATGTATGCAGGGTTTAATACCAAGGAGATGGATTGATAGGTACAGCAAACCACCATGGCACATGTTTACCTCTATGTAACAAACCTCCACATCCTGCACATGTATCCCAGAACTTAAAATTAAATTAAATTTTTAAAATATGTAAAATATCATAACTGCAACACACTCACTTCATCCGA